TTTGTACCTTAAATTAACAAGGCTATCTAATTAAATCATCTCAAATATGACAACATGTTAGCCAAGCCAAACGTGAAGGATGTCACATCAATTAGTTATCTCAGTAAGAAATGATAAGGGAAAACATATCTGTGAACTAGAGCAAACTTTTTGAATGGTTCATACTGCTTTGTTCTATTTAAAGAGTACATTAACAACAGCTGTCCGTATAAATGGAATGTCTATTTTACTAGTGAAGAGAAAGATTATAAATCGGAAATATTCCCAATCAATTGTACATATTTCTCTGCTAAATATGTATGAGTTTAGGTAAAAAATAGCTAATCAAGAAAACACATCGGATTTTGCTTGTAGTAAATGTCTCACACGTTAATGCTAAAGGGACGCGTCAGGTACTTCGTTATACAAGAAATAATATTTGGAAGGTTTTAAATCGCTTTTCTTTAAAAGCGTTTATAAACAATTCATAGAAATATCTTTGATTTAGACACCAAAAAGTAGTTTTAAAATGTGGTACATAAACTAAGAAAAACTGTATTCCCATTAGAACTCGTTTAAAATCGAATAATTGGAAACACGACAGCCCATTTTTTACGTTTGGCCAGTAAAATAAAACATTTCTATGATCTGTTTACATCTATTAAGACTGTACTTTTATAACTTTTATAATTTAACTGGTTTATTCTAATTGACAAGTATCAATTAACAGCTTAATTTATTACTAGTTATTAGCAAGTTCTCACCAAGGAGTAATAGCGATTTAATTTCCCTACTTTACTGTCCAGTATCCCGCAGGCCACAGAGAATCATTACCTTGTCTTACTTTCTCTATGGTGATGGCGTGAGAATCGTCCGTTGAAGAATTGATCGGAATTCCTTACAATTACTCTAAAATCTTGAAGAGAAACTAGCGGCGATTGTATAACTATTACGGACACGAATTGAGTTAACAGTTTATGAGTTATTGTTGATTACGGAAATCTATTAGAATTAGAAAAATCCAAGTATTTATTTACATCCTTTTATATCAACAAACTTTTTTCTACCACAACATTAAAATGATCCCATTTCCAAACATGTACAACACGCAAAATTGCTCATTTGAGCTTCATTCATATTCCCAATCGCTACATCAGCTGATTTGATTTCACTATATTAGCGTTTCTATAACACTATCCGGAAAAGAATCTATGAAAATTAAAAGCATAAATAATCGAAATTACATGTTATGACAATTTAATTATTGTGGTAGGAAAGATCTTGTGTGTATTACGAGCACAAACCGTCATTCCCGCTCTCAAAATGTATGGCCACACTCAGCTAAAGCTATTCATATTTTGCTACATGTAACATATAGCATTTGCTACATTTAACATCTAGCAGGAGTTAAAACATTCCAAATTGAAATGCTATGTAGCATTTGCTACATAGTGTAAACCCGGCTTTATACAGTTCTCGAGCGGCAATAACGTTCTTTACCGTCTTAATACAGTAATACATATTTCCATCAATCTCGATAGCTACAGAATGCTGTACACCCATAATATGATGAATATGTTATAAGGTAGACGGATTATCTTACAGTTTGGTGTTGTTGTAGTAAAAAATAAACCAGTGTTAGGAAGAAATGAAATAGTTATTTGTGCAACTAGTGAGAAAAGTGAGCAATTGACTCACTCGAGAGAAATCCTTACTCAGGAATGGTTTCTCGAGTGAGGCAATTGTACTTTGAACTCGAGTTGCACATTATACATTTCCTACAGTTACCATAAAACAAATAAATTGGTGAAGAAACATAACCTATTTTTACACAGAAGTGAACGTTTAATATAACATTTAATGTGAAGTGACAAATACAACAGTACAACAGCTGACCAGCTGATTTACAGCCAGTGCTGCCAACGTACTTCGCGCGCATACGACGTTGCCTGCATGTTACGCGCTCACTATTTCGTGCCTTCACGTTGCAAATCTGGAGTGAGACAAAGTAATTGGAGTGGGACTAACATTGTCTCACTGATGAGCGAATTGGCCACTTTGCTTTCTCAAATCAGTGAGAGAACATGTACATTGTTAGGTAACTGTAGGAAAAGGTGTTTTTCTACCAAAGTTATGCGAAGTTTACTTACAAATTAACTATAACTCATTCAAACGACATTTTTTGTTATTTAGTTTTAATTCTTTACAAATATAGTTTGTCAAAATATACAAACACATAATTTGATCAAATTACTCAGCAGGCCAATATGACGCAGGACAATGCGTTTCATAACATTAATTTTAGTTTGTAATAATATAAGATAAATCAAAATCCAAAGGAAAAAACATTCCAGCAAATTTACTTGTGAAAGGATTCTTCACACAAAAATAAACACACGTCAAACTTTCTCCGAGCACCAAAACTTGTAATTAACTTACGGTTTCTCGACTGGCTCGACAAGGAGTTTGTAGAACTCCCCGACATTTGACATTATAATCGTGTGTTATCGTTTCAGAATGTGACGAGGGTAACGAGAGTATGGGGAGAAGAGAGTTTGTTTCAGGCCGATGTTTAATTGGTCGAGGCCGTTGCCAAGTAACGCCCCAAGATCAGAACTTGCCCTCAGGAACAACTTAACGTAAATCATTCGCCAGTCCTACAGCAAGAACCTGGCGACAACGTGGAGACTAATTCATTACGGCCAAGAATTACACGTGGTCAACAAAATATTTAAGACGCCATAGTAAAAACTAAGTTAGTGCAATATTAGGGAGTATAAAATGTATGACCCTTGGTTAGAATATAAATTATTGATAAGATAAAATTATTACCTCATCCAACGACAGTTGTTGGTATGACTAATAGTTTATCGTTCCTTAGAACTTTCATCAGGAACTTTCATCATTGTATGCAATCATATCGTCTACATTGTGGTAAACAAACTCACAATAATTGAAACTTGTCATGTTGATAAAGTAGTTAAAATGGGAAAAAAATTGATAACGCTGATTAAAACTGTACAGGCTAGCCAGGATCAACGATCAGGATAGCAGCAGTCTTATCACTGCCACTGATAAAAAAAAACTGACTGAATCATGACGTTTCTTCTTCTCACCAGTGCCACCTGTATTTAAATTAGTTTTGATCTACTTATTTTATACTTCTTTGATTAGTAACTTGTCAATATATGTATCGAATATAATATTTGACTGAAAAAAAGTCTGACCATTTAAAATGTTACACGAGTCAAGTTTTTTTAGCTTTGTAAATGTAGAATTCTTCTTTAACAACAAACTTAAACAATTTTGGTAATTCTTCAACTATTTCCATGTTCTTATCAATATATGTAGTAGTGCGATTCCGATATTAAATTGATTGCTGATGTTGAGATCTTTTAGTGTGAGTTCTTTAAATCTTTGTATGAAAGATCTTCCGTTTTGCCGATGTAGTACTTTGGACAGTCGTACCTGATTTTTCATTGTTGTCTGTTGCAAAAGGTTTGGCGTGGATAAACTTTTGAAGTGTGTTTTTTGCAAAATGTGTGACCGTCGTATTATTTTGGTAATAGCGTTGTTGATTTTTCCATAATAATGTATTTTAATGTATTTCTTATCCATGTATGTTCCGTTTTTTCTTTTGTATTATGGAATCAATCATTTTGAGGTTTGTACCCGTTTACTCTGCCGATATGTTGTTCCTTAAAAAAAGAATATCTATCAAAAACAGCTAATACCACACAAAACACACAAATTACATTAGCGGAGTTTAAGACACAAATATTGTATGCACCTAGTATTGCATTGTGTTAGGCTATGTAAACTTTTTTACCTATATTTTTTTCAAAATACGACGTTGACAACACGTTGGTAATTTGCCGAACTCTGCTTGTTGCAATTTTCGATCCACATGTCTGGATGTATATTAGACATTACAAAATCAGAAAATCCACCCGATGGAAAATTACAAAGAACATCAAACAACACACACCTCACTCTCAAACACAGCTGTTCTTGTAAGTACTGACCTTAGGCAAGGCGGCGAGGCATTGTTGTTTAACATCCCAAACCAGCTGATCCTTGGGGAACTGAAGGCACTTGTGGACATTGAGCTCTGGGACATGGATGCGTACCAGGAGATATCCGTCGTCCGGACCTACCGCTGCCTCAGCGTCGTCCTCCATACTGCCTCACTTCATCTGTAACATCACAAGACACTAGGTGAGTGTTGTGGACATTGAGCTCTGGGACATGGATGCGTACCAGGAGATATCCGTCGTCCGGACCTACCGCTGCCTCAGCGTCGTCCTCCATACTGCCTCACTTCATCTGTAACATCACAAGACACTAGGTGAGTGGTGTGGACATTGAGCTCTGGGACATGGATGCGTACCAGGAGATATCCGTCGTCCGGACCTACCGCTGCCTCAGCGTCGTCCTCCATACTGCCTCACTTCATCTGTAACATCACAAGACACTAGGTGAGTGGTGTGGACATTGAGCTCTGGGACATGGATGCGTACCAGGAGATATCCGTCGTCCGGGCCTACCGCTGCCTCAGCGTCGTCCTCCATACTGCCTCACTTCATCTGTAACATCACAAGACACTAGGTGAGTGGTGTGGACATTGAGCTCTGGGACATGGATGCGTACCAGGAGATATCCGTCGTCCGGGCCTACCGCTGCCTCAGCGTCGTCCTCCATACTGCCTCACTTCATCTGTAACATCACAAGACACTAGGTGAGTGTTGTGGACATTGAGCTCTGGGACATGGATGCGTACCAGGAGATATCCGTCGTCCGGACCTACCGCTGCCTCAGCGTCGTCCTCCATACTGCCTCACTTCATCTGTAACATCACAAGACACTAGGTGAGTGGTGTGGACATTGAGCTCTGGGACATGGATGCGTACCAGGAGATATCCGTCGTCCGGGCCTACCGCTGCCTCAGCGTCGTCCTCCATACTGCCTCACTTCATCTGTAACATCACAAGACACTAGGTGAGTGGTGTGGACATTGAGCTCTGGGACATGGATGCGTACCAGGAGATATCCGTCGTCCGGGCCTACCGCTGCCTCAGCGTCGTCCTCCATACTGCCTCACTTCATCTGTAACATCACAAGACACTAGGTGAGAAAACGAAGGAAGCCAGAAAAACAAGGATCTTGGGAACTGCGAGGAAAACACGAACGATTGAAGAAAATTGGAAGATGAGGTCGTACTGCTTCGGTTATAGGTGCGAAGAGTTCAGGGCGTTGAGGATAGTGTCCAGAAGACGAAAAAAAAAGAAGTAATAAGAAGAACTAAGAATCTATAGGAAAGCGCTTTGGTTATTAAATCGATTGTGGAAGGACCGATGACTTAGGCCAACCGGTTGCACCATGAAACTGCTAATCGATCTTTTCAAAGTAAAAATTCTTCGTTAGGAGTTAAAGTTTAATAAAACCATTGACTACATATACCTATTATTCGAATTTTACTTGTTTTGACTGTCCTTGTCATGAATATACAAATGTAGCTGGAAAGGTTTCTGTAAAAGACATCATATTTTTAGTTAGATAAACAAGGTGCTAACATCTTCCAAAGTAAACACGTTGAGTAGTAACACCTGGGAGTGCTAACGCTACTCAACAGTGAAGTCCCTGCATAGTTTTGAGTAATTTTAATAGGTGAAATAGTTCACATTGCAGTTACTAATAGGCACATAGGGAGTCCAATAAACAAAAAGAGAAATTAAATTCATTGTTATTAACAGAAAATAATTTGTTATAAATTTACAAAGGATAAGGAGAAATTCTAAAGTCGGATTGCAACGGTAATGAGACAGTTTGGCGTAAATCCTTCACCTGAAACCGAAGCGGTTTTGATCCCTCCCAATGACGCCTCCACATAGTAAATCTCATTTTTGTAACTATAAGGGAAGATAAAAGAAATCTCCAAGATACGTTCAATCTGTTTAAAGAGTACATCCCAGTATCTATGATGGTTTTCACTTAGTTAAATGTGCATACGTAAGAATGTTCCACCAAAATCTTCAGTAAAATGCAATCTTTAAACTTGATGACTTTAATTTCGATATTCTGATTGAATCCACAAAACCATATGAAATTCTCCAACGACTATTCCTTTACATCTGCCAAAAACGTGAACTTGGATCATATCAGCAACATACTATACAATGCAGTTCGTATTTTAGAGTGATCAATGAGTAAGTGACTTTTTATATATAGATTGCATTGATCGCATTAGAGTTATGTTGAACACTATGATGGTACAGTAATTGTTATTATTTTTAATATCAGACTGGGCTGTCCAGATATAAAATATCACGTGACAAAACATGACAGTGGACTGCTGGTCTATTGTGACATACTGTCCTCGTTCAATAGAATCATCGCCATGTCGCTTTATCTGCTTATGTCATATTTTTGGCACGAAAGAAAATTTTATATATTGCTTAAAGGATTGATTAAACTCCGAAATAACAGTATTTAATGGTTAGAGTGGTCAATAAAAAAATAAACAACACCGTATTACCTAACTATTCTCTGATGAAATTATTATAAATACCTTTAGTGTGAATCACAGATTTTCCTTCTCAAAACGTGCATATTTTATGTTAATAGCTAATACTCGTTCAATAAACCCCGTAAAAATGTCAATGGCGTTTAAAATCGTTAACATCTAAGAGAAACGTTGATTAAAGTGAAAGCAAAGCGCGTTGTTACCTCCTATTCAGTGTGTAATTACTGAAGAAAAATTACTTTCAAACTATAGTATTGACTTAAAAAACACCCCTTTAAGTCGTACGTATTCATAGTGCAAGTCCTAAAACAAAATTACTTTCAAACAATAGAATTAATATATGAAAACAAAATCATGCCTTTAAGTCCTTTGACATAATATTTGTAAAAAGATTTTTAATTTGATGGTTAAACCGATAAAAAATCACAATTGAAAAAAATTCCACAAATCTCTCATAGGGAAGAAAGGTTGTTTTTATTTACAAAAAATATGGGCCATTCAAATTTGTATAAAGTTGTAAAAAATTTTCAAAACACAGCCAAGATTTGAACACAAGTAAACATAGGTTTCGCTCTGGTTTCTCCTTTGATACCTGAACACTTTGCACTGTCACTGTCACAGACAGTCAAAGGGACGTTGAACGGTTCTGTTTACACTTTTCGTTGACGTTAACTGTGGCTTTGGCCAAACTTGCGATGGGACTCCCCAGAGGAAAACATATGTGTAAAATATTACGTACTCAGCTATAATTCAAGTTTGAAATAAGGTAAACAAATAGATGAATATGCCATATGAATATGGGGGGGGTTGTAGGCTGAACATGTAAAACCAATTCATGTATTTTCGTTACTCTGATGGAATTGATTTTCCGAAAATATATTCTCAACAAACCTAAGGCAAACCTTAGGCTCCGTGGTAACCTATTAAACATAGAGGATAAAAACAGAGGTGGCTGTGCTTGTACTCCGGTTTGGGGTAAATCTCAGGAAATGAGGTCTCTAGCATAGGAAAGCGTGTCCTACGAGAATCTAATCTTGGAGTTGCTCGCAAAGGTTGGGCTCTCGGATATACCACTGTTGGGAATGTTTTAACATTATTCCACCAATAAGAACATGTCTTCCACTGTTCAACGCATGATATATCATATGTAAAAAAATAGTTCTTACAATTCCACCGAAAACGATCATTTACAACAAATTAAATCTATTCTACAAGCTTTATTAGTCGTGAAATCATTCACTATAAAATTTAAGATAACACAAACTAAATTTATAACACTAAATGAATAAAACAAACTTTTAATGTTTTTAAAGAATACATTCATGTTGCTGAACTAGTTTTGAAAACAGTTTAATGGTATAGAACATCACATACAGCTCCGTTTAGATGTGAAAAGAGCTTAACTCTAGAACCTGCACTTAACCTTGCAATAATTATTCACTCGGTCAATGAGAAAGTCAAGTATTCAACTGGGATGAGTCAAAAGGTGACCTTAACCTTAGAGTTCATTTGGTGTTCAAGCGTCAATGAATGTGCCTTTTCATGATTTTTCTTTTTCCCTTTTAACCTTTTCAAAGTAAGATAAACGTTTTAAGATGTTGACAGATATAGAATGTCAATTGGTAATTTTTTTTAACGATGATTGGTTATTACATTATTAATTTACAATTGTATTAAATCAACCAAACTATTACAATTAATTTACCTATCTTAGTCAAAGATATCCATACTTAGCCTATAGTTAAAAGAACAGCCTTAAGGCTATGTAAAATACATTTGGAGAACAATTTGCATGTCTTCAAATGTCAATAGTTGAGAGTTCCCAGGTAAAAGTTTTTTAAAAAGATTTTTTAACGATAACAAATTATAAGAATGTTTAACTATTAATGTCACTAATATGAGCAAAGCTGTTGAATTCTGAAACCTTATTCGAATACATATCAAACACTTGGCTACATTGGGGTCTTTAACTCATGAGTACCGTAGTTAAAGAAATCCATTTATATAACCGGCTTAGAGTGTCGAAATTCAATTTTTTTCTAAAACTCATGGTTTCATAGTTACAAAATAAGGGGAAATAACATTGCTATACCAATAGAACCTAGGGTATCGGGAATATTTTATTATTTAAAAATCATTTCACTTGGCAAAACCTGCCATGCATTGTAGTGTATAGAAGTATATATAGACTTAAATCAGCGGTGAACAACTTTTCCAAACGTTTTGAAGCAAGTGAACTGAATGTAATAATTTTCAGAGATATCCAACAGTATTGATACTCTGAACATAGGGAGGAGCGACATGGCTGGGTAGATTTGAATATTTTACTATCGGCCAACCTAAAACGATATTGCGTTCCGAGTTTCATTGCTACAGAACTTTCATGTGAATAAAAACATTTGTTCAGGCATATGTAGGAAAACCGAACACATGCCTACTATACATCTTTGAAATAACAAAAATGCAAAACTTTTTATCTTCAAATGCTTATACAGTATTCGAAAATTTACTAGTGTTGGATTATACTATTCTAGAGGTCGGATGGTTGGTTTATTTCAGTTTTATCTGATTACACAATTCATATTTTGACTTTTATAAGCGTCTTGTATCTAATGACTACACAATCTTTTCATAGTAAGCTAAACTTGATTTTTCATACGTATTACATTTAAGAAGTTAACAATAGTAGTTATGGATTTTTTAGCTTATTTTTTTTATTTGTCTTGTCACTAATTTGAAAGAATTTGTATTTGCAGAAGTAGGATCTTTTTACATAGCTACCACCATACAATATGTATGTAAGAATACAAAATTTAAGTTTAAAGTTATGGCTTCGACCTAACCCAACCTAAACCAACACAACCTTAAACAGCCAAATTTTAAACAGGATTTGTAGATGATAATAATAGCATTTCAACCTGAAAAAATATATAGAGGTATATAGCGAATCATCGGGACCGGTAACTTAGTGATTCAAAATCCACATAGAGCACAACTATTTAAGTAACGAAATATTTGGTTCCAAGACGACTTGTGTTACAAACAAATATTTTCAAAACCTTAAATCTGATAGATAATAATGACATTATTAATTTAACTAATAATTTCTATACATACTTACTAAAGGTACGGTGACTGTTATTAAATTCAAACGTAAATACAAGAACGTTGCACCTTTATAATAATTTATACAACAAATACCTAGTATCCATTTAGTGATGTTGACAAGCTATTCATTCGTTCAACATACTGACGACACTTCTGTGTTAATTGCGACATTACCTCCATAATTACACGGTTAAACAACTATGTCATGTGATCTATTGTTGCCACTCTCCATACCTTGTAACTAACTTGAGTTGAATAGTTTACTGCAATTTTAATAGCATAAATATTTAAATAGCAGCATTTAATGATTAAATTGTTTTGTTTGGTGATAGAAAACGATTGTATTCTTACTTTAAAACGTACGGGTATGACATGGACGGACATTTTCTCATGTTAATTCATAACAAAAATAAAGTTAACAAAAAAGATAAAACAAACAACCTCATTTTTCGCAAATATGAAGTGAACAAATCAC